ATATATTCGGTAATATAGCATAGTGGTTTAAAAGCTCAGGATCTGGATTCAAAATGCGTAGCTATGTGAACTTGTACATTTTATTTTAAAACACTGTGCTGATGCAGATAATAATATATGGATAATAATACTCCCACCTCATAATGTTGTAAGAATTAGATGAGATAAACATGTAATGCCTTTAGAACAGTGCATGTTGCATTGTCCCTCCTTCTCTTGCCATTTCACTCCACACTCTAATATCCCATTCTTCAGAAGGGTTCTATCTTTTCAAGACTAAATACCTTTACATATGTGGGTTCCTCTGCTTGGAGACTTTTACCCTTTTCCCCCATGAAAAACTTACTCATCCTGTGAGATTCAGTGCAGCAGAGAGGATGGAGGCAGGCTTTGTAGTCAAGTCAGACAGACCTGTTTTTCAAACCCTACTTACTTACTACCTGTGAGATTTGGGGCAAATTACTTAACCTCTGGAAGCGAAAGTTCCTCAGTTGAAAAATTCAGACAGTATTACTGCTTTCAAACAGGCAGGTTTGATATGAGTAATAAACTGGATACCATGTAAGATACCTAGTTCAGTGCCAGTTACTTTATTATCAGCATGTTATAAATTATATTATTAGTATAATCATATTCATCAAACTAGCAAGACTAGTTCAAGTATCTCTTCTCTACAAAGTCTTCTTCAACTTTCCGGAAAGTTAAATATCACTCTCCTCTCTGTGTTTTCATAGTATGTTTGTTAAAAATTCCTCCCCTGAAAATAAAGCCCTCACCATTTTCCTATGTCTCCTGTCTCAGTAATGGTCTTCAGCAGTTTCAGCACCAGCCTTGTTCCCTCACTCTTTCTTACTTTTCACATTCGCTTTGCTGTCAGTCTGTTTTCTGTGCTGCCTATCATCTGATTCCCTCTATTCCATCCTCACTTGTTAATTGCATTATTTCAGGCCCTCATCATCCTCCATCTAGACTATTGAAATAATCATAAAACTAGTTTATCCGCCTCTAGGTCTCAAGTGTCTGAAGTGTGTCAAGTGTGTTGCTGCCACGAGTTAATTTTTCTAAAACTGAAATCAGGTTATATTACTTCCCTACTTAAAATCTTTCAGGGGCCCCTCATCCCCTACACACTAAAGCATAAACAACTTAGCAGGGTAGATGAGGCCTTTCACCTTTCTGGCCTTCTCCCATTTTCTGGTATCATTTCCTCCATGACCCCAACCACAATATCTCTACACAAGCTATTTCTTCTTAAAGCATATTCCTCCCTTCTAGTACCTAGCCAAATATTTGTTACTCCTTAAAGTCCAGTCTTAACATTACCTCAGTGATGTTTCTTTATTTTTTTATTTTTTTCATAGTACTTAGTCCATTATCTTTGTTAGAAGTCTTAATCATCTAGGTGTTACAATTGCTTTGTTTATCTGTTTCCTATCTACTGCACTCCCTGCAAAATTACCCATCACTGAGCATTTCCAAGACTTGGACGGTGTTCTCTTCATCTTTGTATCCACATGTCCTCCAAATATTCACATAGATGCCTGCTATAAAGTAGGTACTCTGTAAACACTTATGAACAAATGAACTAAAACAACTTAATAGGTTGATGGGATGACAGAATAAAGTAAAAGCAGGTCAGGTCAGGAATATACAGGAAAATTTCAAATGTGCTCTGATCTATTTTAGGCCCTGGATAAAAAATTTTTATCCCAACCCAGTACCCAATTTTAGTAGAAGAGTTTCATAGAAAAGTATGACTTTTGTGGCTAGTCCTGCCTGCCTCCCTCACTGGCACCACCACTCCTATGGTATCTGACTTTCTAGTAGGCTTTTAACCCTTGTTTTATGCACCAGCTTCCATCAAGTTTAATTACATTTAAAAGATCTGAAATCTTCAGTAATAGTGGAGAGAGAGTATATACTATTTCTAATAATTATAGAATTTTAAATTTATATTTTATTTTATTTTATTTTATTTTAGAGTCAAATGAATTTCTTAAAATTTTTTAAATATAGGAGTATTCCTGAAAAGGAAAGTGGTGCAGAATTACCATCCATAAGCTAGCCAATATGTATAGGCAGAAACACTGATAGGGGAAAGTATAAAGAATGCCAGACCTCATTGCCCAAAAATTGCTTCTTGGCCCAGGTGTCATAAAGCCTAAAATTTCACCAGTAGAAATCCATTCCCTTGGTTTAAGCAAGGTTGAGGTCCTTCTCTTTTAAAAATGTGTATGTTTGTGGAAGGAGAACACATTGTCATTTAGGTTTTAGGTTGCTCTTTGGCTGACCCTGGATGCACTTAGTTTTGGTGAGCTATGTGGAAGTAGAGGGAACCAAAGAGCAGGTTAAGAGCTTAGGAACTTTATAAGAGAAACTTCTCTTAATGATTCTGCCAAGGACCATCCATAATCCTTGTTTATTAAAGAGAAAACTGACACACAAATCCACTAAGTGATATTTTTATCATCACGAGAGATTTAAAACTCTGTTGTTCTTTATGCTATATTTTATTTCCCATCTTTCTATCTATAGATAGGGTTCTTGTGGCCCAGAACAACAGTTTTCTAAAGGATCTTAAAAATATATTTGACTATACTTAACATACCTAAGCTACACATAATTACTTAAAAGTATTTACAACCAGGCTTATAGGGTTAGAAGATCTCAGAAGCTTCTAGATTTTACAGTAAAGTAACTTTTGTCACATAATCATCTTTACTATGGGCCAGATTTACACTGATATGATTCAAATTCCTCATAAACCATGACTATATAATAAGTAG